AGATACACTGAAATGTCACTCAGATAATAATAATAACAGAGTGAGGGTGTCTGAGAGCAATGATACTCTTACCAGAACACACCAGGCCCACATCATTCTCATGGCCGCAGGTCCTGTTATGTGTCATTTTGGGACAGAAAACAAGATGAGACTCGTTTCCCTGACACTGAAACTCCTCAGACCACACCCCTCCCTCTCCCTGACCAAAGGCAGCTCCCCCCAGCAGCTGTGCAGGTTCCCCACAGCCTAGTGATCTACAGACCACCTCAGCGTCCTGCCAGTCAAAGTCAGCGTCACACACTGAGCCCCAGGATTTTCCGTGCTGAATCTCCACTCTCCCAGAGCACATGTGACTCCCTCCTATCAGCCGAATCCCTCGATGGCCTAAGATTGAGAAAGACAAATTTATGTTAATTTCCTTTAGCACACCTATAACATAGAGGTAATCTCTGATTCAGCAGTAATCTGACACACAGCAGTGTATTATAAGGTTGTAGACGTTTGTAATACAATGGGAAATTAACAATGCTGGTACAGAAGCAAACCCCCAATTCAAGAGTAACACTAAGTGCAAATATGAATAGATATTATGGTGATTAAGACTGAATTATTTTTTAATAACTTCATCTACACACTTTTAACATTTAATTTTTAATAAATTTGGAATAAAACTACTCATTTCAAATTGTTATGAGCTCCACTGTATTCAATGAAAAGCCCAACATTTTCCTTTCCCTTCCTACTGTCATGGATGTACTAGGACACTGCCTAATCATTACAATTCTTTAGGTCATTTATAGTCATTATGGAGTTGGAGTTAAATTTATGTACTCTTTGATTCAGCATTAAAGTACCAATATTATGACTAGGACAAAACACGTTATGTTGTATAACTCTGGATTTTGATCAAAACAACCAAAAATTGTATTATGAGCTTACTGTAGTATGACAAAATGTCATCTTGTATAATACAGTGGGTCAATTCAGATATTTACAATGCTGGTACTGAACCACAAACCTTATCCAAGTGTAACACTAAATATATCCACGAATGGTGATTTAAAAACAGTTAAGACCTCTATTTTGTTGTTCCTTTTGCATGCAAGTTCCAATCAGTCATTCTTGACCTTATCAGTGTTCATTTAACAATCTGTGTATAAAACTTTACAACTTGTTTTTCCATAATTTTTATTCGTAAAGACTTTAATAGGTGTATTGCTTAATTCAATCTATATCCTCCATCATTTATCCAGCACAAGGTCACTTTTCTGCTTCATGGCACAAAAAACAGGAGGCAGAGAGTACCCTGACTGGGAAATCAATCTGTCAACACAATTCACACAATGGGTAATGAAGAAACACAATTTCACAGAACCACATGTTTTTGGACTGTAGTATGAAACAGGAGAACTGGATAGAGAACCTCACAAACATGGGGAGACCCCATATGATTAATTTGCTGAATTTCCAGTCACATTTCTGCAAAATAGTACAATCCACAGTCAACTTATGACAAAGTTTAGGACCAAATGTAATGTTCAATGCAGTACAAAGAATTAACTATGGAAATGATAAGCGGAGTGAATATTGCTGTTTGCCTTTGGAATGACATGGAACTAGGAAAACACAGAGACACAAATTTCATCAAAGGAGCTGAATGAATCAGGAAAGTCATTTAATAATACATATACAACTTTACAAATTTGACGTTTTAAAAACCTCTGATAAAGTAATATATGATGCGATTCCTACCTGTGTAAGTGAATTGTAAAATATCTTGAGAAAGTCTCTCAACTTCAATAAAGTAATTATTTTCACAATTGCTTAATTTAGATTCTAATCCATTGCAGAAATGCTCACTTATCAATAAATTGGATTGGGTATAAACAAAATATTCAGGTCCTCCAACAAATTCTAGTGGTCCACAGCCCAGATCATTCCCTACCACTGTGACAGGATTTTGAAGGTCATTTAGGTCAGTGAAATACGGTGTTACTGTCCACCATTTTCCCCACTGATACACCTGTACTGTTCCAGCACAAGGACTGCCTCCATCCACCAATGTCACATAATTATGTCCTAAAGAAATAAAAGAGTAAACTGTGAAACAAAATGAACATCACATTTGATATGTGTCTTTAATGCATTCTTGGAAATTGAAGAGAGAGAATGCACAAATCCTGAAATAAGAGAATCATATAAAATGTTCAGAGTAGGAGCAACTTTCAATAACTTAGAAAATGTTAAGAGATTAAATCAGGGCAATACTTAATTGCCAAAACGTTCAATTAAATTAATAAGTATTAGCAATTAATAGTAAACTCACCACTACAAACCAATCCTACAGCATGGCGATGTGTACAGTTCTGTTCTGATCTATCTGACATGAGACATTCATTGAGAAATGATTCCTCTCCTTCACAATGGAAGTCTTTATACCAGATGGGACCTTCTCCTTCACCAAAATGGGCCCCCTTGTGTAGAGCTGAAGGAGCCCCACAGTCAAGCTCCCTACAGACAACCTCAGCATCCTGCCAGTCAAAGTTACCATCACACACTGTAGCCCAGGACTGACTGAACTTCACCTCCAGCCTCCCAGAGCAGCGATCAGCTCCACCCACAAGCCTCACATGGTCTAGAATCACAAAAAATAAAGGGAAATGTAATCTTGTATTAAATAAATGTTTTTTTTTTAAAGTGACCCAGAAATGACCCTATAAAGACATCATTTTCTAGAGAAGCGATTAATACTATTGTTTTCTTGTCACAGGCCTTTATTTTACAACTTGTGTTACCCTCATTAACAATGATTACCTGGTGTGACATATTTTAAATATAACATTTGTCTCTAATATTTACAGATTAGTCACTTGGATTTAAAAATAAATAAATAAACAACTTTATCTTTAATAGAACCAAGCGTTAAAAGTAGACATCAAACCTGAGCAGATGACAGCAGCATCCAGTGTGTGCGGTAAGTCATGCTCTCTGCCATCCAGTGATCCACACTCCCTCAGCGCAGACTCTGACCCACTGCAGGAAACATCCCCTAGAACCATCCGCCCAGAACCTTCTCCAAAGTGAGCTGCACCTGGTACAGATACAGCAGAGCCACAGCCCAGCTGTCTACACACCACCGCGGCATCATTCATGTCCCAGTTACGCTGATAAACGGTCCCCCACTCGCCCCAGCGATACACCTC